CTGACTTGAACGCGTCCAGCCCCTCCAGAAGCTCTCTAACCCGGTCCTCCCCAACCTGAGGTCTGAAGGCGATCCCCTCGAGTCCGGCTTCTATCACAGCAGGGAAGTCCTATTCATATAGGCTTCCCAACTTGTAATAGGCACAACAATTCTAGTTGTGAGGTGATATAATTTTATTTCCAGTCATTCTTTTAAATCTGTCATTTCTTTGAAAACTAAATTGATTTATGTTTCAGCAAATGCCATGCAAATGCAAAATACACCACCCAGTGCTGCTGACACAACCAAACAGAAATCTTCATCAGTTCTGTAGGAGGTATGGAGTTATTTCCAGATCACTTACTGTAGCATAATTATATCAAAATTGTGGTGAAAGGTGCTAAGTTTGACTTGTTCTAATGTAAGCTCTGTTAGGTGAGGGGAAAATGCCTGCTTTCCCTTGAATCCACTGGGAGAAACTTTCTTCCCCCTCTGGGTGTTTAAACTGAAGTATCGTATGTTTTTACTGTGAATACTATAAGCCTTTTCCATTTCTTGGCTGCCTGTGATCCTGTCCTACACTGCCTGAGTCCCTGAAGAAGAGTTACTGTCAAGGGACACGGGTCTGGGCTCTGGCATTGAGACCGAGAGGACAGCATGTTGCAGAAGTAGCTGGGGGACTCGAGCAGGGCAGAATCAAATCTCTCTTGGGAATGCAATTGCACTTAGCCACTTAGGAGGTGGAGGACTGCCCCTTTCTGTTGCTCTTGGCTTGGTTTGAGCCACAAGCGGAGCACGTGTTGCGTTCCACAAGCTTTCCGTGAACGCTGGGTGATGGCGCAGGCTCTGAAGGCTGGCATGCACATAAACATATTTCCAGAATGGTGATCATGGGTTGTATACTGTCTTCCTTCAACTGCTGGCTTGCTTGTTTGCGTGATGACTTTTGTTGTAAAGCTGTGGGAAAGCCCGTGGCTGTTGTGGTCCATAATGTAAACCAGCCTTCGCTGTCACTCGTTCTGCTCAGGATACTGATATAGAAGAGAAATGGCATTGAACCTATCGGCCTTTATACGCTGCCTTTTTTGCGTTGTGTGCCCCATTGAAAATGATCCCTGACTCACAGCAGGCACATTCGTTGAGAATTTTGCTTTCTTTTTTTGCCAGTAGTTCCTGGGAATTGCATGGAAGCATTTCCATCCTATTCTCTGAGGAATTTATGCACTTATCCTGACCTGCTATGAGAGAAGGTGGAAAACTTTGCAATTCTACTATGGAATGGGATTTGCTTTTGCTGTTTCCTTGGATGAACTCCTGCAGGGGTGTTACCAAGTTCAGCCATTGTAGCTCTTCAGCTGAACTCCCTTGTGCGTGCTGGCTGCTTGTCCACAAACACTTGTTGCCTGCAGATTTTTGAGACTGGTGAGGCACACTGGGGCATCAAGGAGTCACCAGATTTCTCCAAACCGTTGCTTATATAAAATGCTTTGAAATCTGCTGATGATAGTGCTCTTCCAGAAAAAAATGTATTGAGAATAATTATTCTCAAAGCAGTGTAATGTAAGGGACACTGTTCTGAAATAATGAATATCTCTGTGTACATAGTAATTAGTTGGAAGACATGTTGTAAAACGGGGGGTGTCAACCAGGGATATACTTACCCCCACATGGGGGTACTTGGGAAGGTCCCAGGGCGTACATGGCAATGGCATGGAGAAGTGGGGGTACTTGAAGTGCCGAGGCTTCCTCGTGCCCAAGTACACACTGCCAGGGGGGCCCCCTCACTGCCCGCTTGTCGAGTGACTGTGTGGGGACCCCCCCACTCATTGATTGTACCCCAGAAGGGTAGTCTGTGGTGGGGAGGAACCCACCAGAAGGGGTACACTCCTTAAAACCCCTGTTGCAAGTTGTTGTTGCAAAATGTATGTGTGTGTATGTGTCTGTGCGTGTGATATATATATGTGTGTGTGTCCACTTCTGGGTCTGCTGCCGAGCGTGCTGGGGAGCCCCCAGTGCTTCTGTGGGATACTCCATCTTCCCCAGCACTGCAGCGATCATGAGCCCCCGCTGCCTAGAGGTATGTAGAAAAAACATTTAAAGCTGTGTCTATCTTTACGAGGGTTCTGATTTGATTTTGAAAGATTAAAGGGCCCTCTGATTTGAATCGGACCGGATCTCTGCCAAATCGAATCAGGAACTGAAGCTTCACACAGCCCTACTGGCAGTCCCATAGTTGACATGATTTGAACCTGTGCAGGGAAACCCCAGTAGATTTCAAGTCCACCGCCTTTAGCACTCGGCCACAATTTCTTTTGTTCATAGAGAACCTATCTGCACTCCATGCGCTGCTCAATACAGAGCTAATAAAGCATGATTGATCATTTTGAAGGGAGTGAAGCTAAATGAGCCTTTCAGAGATGGAAAAAGGACTGCACTTGCCCTGAATTTGTCTGAGAGTGGTCAGTCCCTGCTTTCACCAGAGAGAGATCATGGCAGATGCTCTTTCCCTTTCATGATTGTTCCTGTAGGGATTGATGAATGTTAAGGAAGGCAAAAACCTGTCATCCTTTTTAGCTCCCTTCTGGTGTTTCTTTCTGTTAGTAATTTTGTCTGTGGCTTTCTCTGGTCAGCAGGGCAGTTTGCATTAGTATTAGACAGCTGCTGCCTTCTCTGTCTTGCAGTGTTGTTCTCCTCCTTGCAGTAGAGACTGTCCAGTTAGAGCTTACTTGATAGGATCTTAACATGGCTCTTGAGCCATTTGAAAGATTTTGGCATCTTGATCTTGTTCTTTAAAGCACTTCAATTTGTATGAATTATTCTTTCTGAAGAAAGCAGCACCCAGTCCTAGGCTGAGGCTATCTGAATAGTCTTACACACTTTTTGTCTCAAGTTTGCCAAAGGTAATATATATTTATATGAATGCAGAATTATTTCTTTTGCTGCTTGTGCATCTGCATTGGACCTTTTGTATGATTCCCATTGTTTTTCTGTTGGGGAACCTGAGCATAATCTCAGGCTTCCCTGGAGACTGCTAAGAACCAGATGGGATTCCTTGTCGGGAATATCCTGTTTCAGATTTCAGTTTATGGTTTCCTGATCAAAAAACACTTAATCAAGCAGCGTGTTCGCCGATAGATGCTGCTAACTGCAACACAAACTTAATAGTGAATAGTCCATCTCTGGACTACCGCAATTATCAGGGTTGTTAGAACAGTGGATTTACCTCTAACTTCTAGATTTCTACCACTTGCACCAGCTGTGTCTGTGTACACGGACTGCCATGACGCTGGGAATAGATTTACAATCTACAATAGGTATTTAGGTGTGTATACGTGGAAATGCTGAAAAGCCCACGCCCCATGCAGCATGCGCGCAGGTATGCATCTTGTATTGCAGCACAACTCCGTCAATGCTAGGGAAGGAGCAACCATGGGAGGGACTAGCGCCCCTTACTTTCAAGGCTGCCCACAGCAGGCCTGGACAGCTGCTTTGTTTGCTCATTATTTCTGGGACAGCTGAACAGGACAATTAGATGCTCACAAAAGCAGTTACTAGGCTACTAGTGGGGTCGGGGGTAAATGATCTAGCAGCCAGCGAGACAGCAAGATGCACTGTTATGTCCTTTGAAAGTAAACTGCGCACAAGGGCAGACTGATGGTGCAGAGTGTGCGCCATCCACTTAATGGTGAGCGCAGTGCCCGAGCTGAGCCGTGCTGGTCGCAAGTGCTGGGGAAAGCGAGCGCTCTAGCACCCAGGACAGCGCCCAGTGAACCACGGCCCTGTGCCTGTTCAGCGCAGTATAAACCACGCACATGCCGCCCTGCATGGACAGAGGGGCTTAGGCTGCCCTGCTGCTGGTACCGGTCCCCGGGCGAAGCCAGCGCCGTCAGTGAGACAGAAGCGAGCTGCGGGCTGCGACCGGACACACGAGAACGCCCCTGGAGCGCGTCCAGCT